CACACACACACACACACCTCTATGCAATAAAGGGACCCGAATGCCCTTTTTCGTAAGTCGTAATCAGGCCTTTTTAGTCTTCATAATCTGTAGGCAGCCTCCCAAAAAATCAACGTAATCCGTAATATAGTACATTAGCCAGTTCACATGCGTAAACTCTAAATACAGGACCGGTCCTCCCTGCTAATTAATAGTGGCTAATTGCGGTAACCTTTCGTCTGGCATGACACGTGACATTTGATACGCCAGGGTGCACAAGAGGGTGCGACAATGCCTTACAAGAGGGCCTGCATGGGGGGGTCCCGACAACGCTTTACGCTAAATGTTGACAGCCGGCTACATATTACGCTGAATTCAGGAAGCCTCCCCAATATGTTTTACGATAAATTCTGGCTAGCTACAACACATTACGTAGAATAAAACGGCGAATTACGCTCTACACAAAATGCGCCAATTACGCTCTATGTTGAATTAGAGCGGTCCGTCTATGCTCTACGTAGAATTAAAATGGCCGATTACGCACTACGGAAAAGGGCATGCATTACAGGGGTGACATATCACAGGAGGGGGGGGGGCAACAAATCCCACAAAACTTGTAAACTTGTGCCAACAATTTGTGAAGTCATGCGGGAGGAATGCCTTGGAACTCCGGAAATAGCAAAAATGAAAATAGCAAGCAAGCAAGAAAGACCACCTGTGGACTTCGACAGAAGCAATGCTGATATTTTCCACATTTTCTAAAGTTTCTTTGCATATGATTAACCGTTAACTTGCTAAGTTCTGCTGTAGCTGATACAACATTGGGTGAATAAACCTACCTCAGCAGAAAGAGGGTTAACTTAAACAGTGATGAGTTGAAAACAATGATTAACAGGCACTTTCCTATACTGCAAAAGTCACCTTTCACGGGTCCTCTAAGAAATTATCCATTTTTCTTAGCAGATGGAAAACTACACGTCATGTACTAACTAGCTTGAAGGAAACAAGCAAGGTTAAGGTTCCTTGGAAGAAGTAAACTGCATCAGGATAGTTTATGTACATCTGGAGTCACCTGGACCAAACCCATCATCACTCCAGGCCACTTGACTCACCCTTCTACGACTGTGTACGTTTGTAAGAGCGCCTGGTCTCTCTAAATGTTTGGAATGGGGTCAGCAATTCTAGGCTCTTTCTAGGATTCTAGGAGACTCTTGGCAGAAGATCTAGAAATGGAGCCTCCCTCATACCAAGAAATTTATACAGACTTGCTCATACAAACCCCAGAATATGCCACTGACTTGTCAAATACACAATGATGATATCATACAGTTTGCATGTTCAACGAAAGATGCAACGATTGGGTAAAAATATTTTTGTGTCCCAAACAAATCCCAACATTCTGATGTGTATGTTTACATCCCAGAAGAGTTGTCGAAACCTAGTTTTGACAGGATGTTAACAATCCTGTTGTGCCTGCCCTCATAACCTGCATCATTGCAGGTTGGCTGAACAATGTTTAGACCTTCAGTATCACAAGAACAAGTTGGTATTTCCGCTGCTAACGCCTGAGTTTTGCACCTACCCTTGACTACCAAATTCATTCAAAGACAAAATGCACTAGAAGTCTTCCCGCCATGCCTTCTCCTCTAATGTTTAGACCTTCGGTGTCACGAGAACAAGTTGGTATTTCCGCTGGTAGCCCCTGAGTTTCGCAGCCCCCAGCTCCTATTGTTACAGAAGTGATACCTGATCTCAGTCCGGTCCTGAGAACATTCCTAACATGGAGTCAGGCTGTGGGGATGCCAACACTATAAACATGTTCTGCACTACAGACACTCAGGTATTCTCACTAAGGTGTACATGAAACAATGGGCACTTTCAGTAGGACACCGAAATGTGTACACTTTAAAAATCTTGGACATCTCAGAATACATTGAACAGTTTTACGGCCAACGATTTTTTGTCATGACTTTTCTATCTACCTGATTACAAGTTCCTATGGTCATGGAAAAATTAATCTATTGTATCATTCATTATTGTTTAGTTTTATCAAAAATTAAATCCTTCTTAAGTCATACCAAAAATCATTCACTTTAGAATCTTCCTGATAAATTCTGAGATACTCAACTTAAAATTGTAAGCATTTCCAACATTTCAGTATCCATTGTTTTATTGTTGTGCAGGGTACTCTAGTCTGTATTCAGAATACCTGGCAGCCTTTGGTGCAGAACATGTTTATAGTCAAGTAAATATAGAAGTCACAACATTCCATTCTCTACTTATACATGTTCAAATATACATATCATATATTTACATTTCTTTAAGAGGGGTCATGAATACATGTCAACAAGTGTTCAGACAATTTAAGGAGAGGAATGTCTGTAGCAAAGTAAAACTTGCATGAGGACACTTATATTTTCAATGTTGGAAAACTGATTGTACAACATTTCATCACTCAGGTGTACATGTCAGATCATACAGCTAGAAAATGTCGAT